CTTTTATGTTATTTTCATAAAACTTTAGTTGGCGGTATTTTCTCACGGAAAACCCGGGCATGGCTATTACCATCTATTACCAGAAACACATTTTCAGAACACAAACCGAAACAGAAAATGATCATTTTTGACCCCTCAACTTAAAAGTCACCCAAGTCTTCAATAATCAATTCAACTCAAAATCCTTTGCACTATTTTGTAGAGGTGATTCAGGACTTTCGAACAGTATACAACACTTATTGGTTGAAGCTTTCAATCTTGGAGAGATATGTGAGCGCTAGTTTCATTCTCACCACCCCAATGAGATTAATACCCATTGTTGACCCAAGGCAGTCAAAATATATAGTCAATGGCCCTTTTTTTGCATTATTTTGCAAAGGTTGCGCATTTTCGATTTATTTCTGGCCTTCAGGCAGGAAATTTTACTCAAGTAATTAATTACTCGCAAGGAACACACTCTAATGGTGAACTATCAATGGGATCCCGAAAACATAGTTCATTATAAAGATTTGACTGTAAAGCTATGGGTCGAAAAAACTCGGAAAACCCCGTTTTCCATACAAAATCGAGTTTCCAGATCTCAAAAACGGTAAGGACTAGCCACAAATGGTTTTCAGTTTTAGAATCGGGATCATTAAATTACTAAAATACGTTTTAGGATTTCTTCGCTCATCCAAGAATTACTCATTTTCTGAGGGGTGGAGCTGTAATTATGTGGAAAGGCCAAAACGATTTCTTTTGAAAATTTAAAGAATTTTTTCTTTATAAGCTTTGCTATGCAAAATCGGTGTTTATGATAATTTTAGTATCGAAATATAACACCTTTTCTATTTTCAAAGTTTTGATAAAACATTTTCAAAAACTTAGTTTGTGTTTTCTGAAAAAACGGCTTATCCAATCAAAAAACGGTTTGCTTGATTCAAAAGCCCTATCCTTAATCTACAAAATGGCTTTTTTTTGTCATTTTGTCGTCATTTTGTAGATTAAGGATAGAGCTTTTGAATCAAGCAAACCGTTTTTTGATTCGATAAGCCGTTTTTTTCAGAAAACACATTACCCAAAAACAATCGTTTATAACTTGCCAACCTCAAATGACAAAGTTCCGAAACGGGGGTTCACATCGAGCATGGTTTCCCATTTTAGCTTAACTTTTTTTAAATTTCTGTTTTGCTCTTTTTTAAAAAGAGCAATTTGAACAATCTTTGCTTTCATCACCATGGGAATTGTGGGAGAAAGAGTGAAATCTCTCTTTTGCTATAGGAAATGGGTGGTGGAAAAGAACGGCCGATTTTTGTCTTTCTTTTTTTCTAACTATTCACTCTTTACCATTTCTTTCTATCTCTCATCCCTATTCCTTTTATAATTGTTCACGTGTGTTGACAGAGCCCCTCGAATACTCGCCTACTCATTTAAAACTATCGGCAGTCCACTATTTGTATTCAAAAAGCTTACAAAAGTATTATATTTCGTTATTTTTGTATAAATACTAAATCTTATTCTTTTCTTTTATTTTTTTCTTATTATTCCGCTACTTATTGAACAGTTCAACAACAAGACACGAGATTTTCACTTCAAAAAGAGTCATTGAACAAGGATCATACAGGAAAAGTTGGCAGTTTGAAAGTTGGCTATATATCTAGCATTATTCCTTCGAAAGTTTATCAATCTACATTGCGAGAAAAGCTGCTTATATATCAAAAGTCAAGAAATCGATCGTCCAAACTCAGAAACCGTCAATAAAGTGCGAAAAAACGATCCCTTTTTCAAGTGCCGAGTTTTCGTGACAAGAAAAAAACCGAAATCCCGAATTTAAAAGACAAATCAAATAGCTTGAAGCCAAATTTGGCAATCCGGGCGTCAAAGCGTCAGTCAGTTCTCACACACAGCTACAACTTGAGATAAAGCTTAATATTAGACCTTAATAGGCCAGAAAATCAGCCGAAAACCCAATTTTGTTTGCTTAATCGAAATGTTTCCCTTTCCAACTTTGCCCGCCGAGCTCGAAGCTGCTGTTATTGAATGGGTAAACATTCGGGAACGTGTGAATTTATCGAAATCTACGAAATATCTCCGGAAAAAGATACTCCATCGATTCACATTTATTCCGAGAGATATTCAGTCATTTTCCGTGCAAAATTCGCCAAATCGATTCGAAATTTCAATTGAAAATCGCGGTTCTTTTTTGGAAATCAAGAGATCCGATGAAAATTCCAAGCTTTTAATAACTGAATCGAATGAAATGACAAAAATTTGTTATAAAATGCCAATAATTTGTCAAGAAAGCCTGTTTTTAGTGCTTCAGAATGTCAAAAATAGTTTGGATTTTAGTTGTTTTTATCACGGTTTTTCCGGAAAACCGGCATTTAATGTGAAAAATGCGAGAAAAGCCAATATTTCAGCCAAATTTTCGCTTTTACAACAATTTCTGAAACAGGTCAATGTCAGCGATGAGTTATCGCTTCAAACGCGTGATTTAGAATCGGAATCGGATAAAGAGCTGATTTCTAGCTTTTTCACTGCCTATTTCCTCAATTCATCGATGAAAAACGGAAAGAAATTCGCTTTAACATGCAATGATGATTTGACAACGTTCACTGAGGGCCTAAAATCGACAAATATTCAACTTTTACACGCTCTAACTCAAGAGAAATCGGCGATATTTGAGAGAAATGTGAGAAGTTTATTGAAAAACGGGATTCCAAGTAGGAATCCGGAGGGAATCGTTGTTTTGGAAGAGCAAAAATTTGAGGGAAACCATGTTGGATTTGATGAAATCGAGCGCATATTCAAATCGTTTCCTAACATCAAAAGAATCAAGAAAATCGTTAATTTTGGAAAAGTGAAACTTAATCCATTTTTGCGGGTTTTGAAAGAACTAGAAATTGATTTAAAAACTGATTTGTATACGAGACGACATCGATATTATAAAATGGCAATTAATTCGACGAAAACGGTTTTAATTATGGCGACAAATATGAAGCACAATTATCACTTCGATTCCCTCATTTTTTGTATGCAAATTGTTGAGAATTTTACGGAGGAATTGGATCAATGAAATACTATTTTGTTGTTCACACATTGGGTTGATGGGAAAGTCCTTTCGGATTTTCTGGGAGAGTACCTTATTTTTTGTTTGTCTATTTGTCCAATTTTGACGTTTTATAGCTCATCCTAAAGCTGAATTCAAGACGGATCGATTGGTAAAAACCGTTTTGAGATATCTCTTTTCTAAAAGTTTTACAGCTATTTTAGTAAAGGGCGGCAGAGCCAAAAAATGGCTGTTTTCACGTTTCGTTAGTTTTCCGTGCAGAAACCTAGGCTAAAATCATGTGTTTCGTGATCAGCGTCAAAAATAACCCCTAGACACGCAATTCAGCTTTAGGATGGGCTATAAAACGTCAAAATTGGACAAATTTAAGATACTCTCCCAAAAAAAGTATGGAAGTATTGGGTTGATGGAAAAAGGACTTTTCCATCAACCCAATACTTCCCTACTTTTTCTTATCTTTAATCTTTTCACAATCTTTTTAAGTAATCCACTTTTTTCAACAATTTGCTCTTTTTTAGCGCCTAGAAATTTCAAATTTATGTTTTATTAGAAAAAGAATAAAAAAATTATCAAAAGTTTACAGAAATAAAAGTTGAACAAATATCAAACAACAAACAAGCAAGATCAAACTCGACCGAAAGCGAATTATGAATATAAACGTCTATACAAACATCTATACGTTCCTAGGTATAAACGGATGTGGACTAGAATTTGGGTTAAGTTAAAGAGAGTGGATCCCTTTTGATATCCCACCATCTCTAACACCCCGACAACCCAACTCAACTCCTCCAACGTATTAGAGGGGAGTCCCTGTGAAATGACCGACCTGTACTGCAGTTGCATAGACCCGGAAGATACGTATCTTTATTTACAGTAATACAATAAGCTGAATGGATTAGAAATGAGTGTAAGGGGAAGGGGGCAATAAAAGGGATAAGCACAGGGGAGAACACATTTGCATAAGAATAGACAAATCATTCAATAATAACAATAGTAACTAAAATATCAGTCTGGCTCGGAGCTGACACATCAAAAGAATGCAATTCGAACACGCCAAAGACTTTGCGATGCGACAAGCTAGGCAGGGAATAGTAGAAAGGCAGACGCAACAATATCAAAGACATCAGCAACAGAGAGGCAGATAGGATTGGATATGATTGGAATAGTTGGGTCTGAGCGGGGTTTGGTGGGACAACAATACCCACAATAATATAGACAAAAGCTATGAGCTAATTTTAGCATATGAATCTGTTATTGCATCAAATCCGAGCTGTAATCGAAATAAGCGATCAATAGCATCAAATGTCGGATGCAATTTTGATGTCAAAGGATTGAAATTGTCACCAAGCTATTAGTTAAGCGCTTTAACAATAAAAATTCTACCATTTGGCTCATTTCTCTATTATTCTTGTTGCACTGATGCTAATAAACATTTGTGTGACTTGAAATGTATTTACTTCAACAAAGTTTTCTTGTATACTTTTTGAGGAGCTTCATTTTCTTTTGCCTTTTTTGGTGATTCTTCACGTCGAGCACGTTTTGGCGTTAGCGACGAGGCTTAAAGCTTAAGGCATTAGGCCATATTTTAGTACAACATTGTGCTCTGTGATTGAATTGAAGCTTATCAAAGTTCATTTTGTATCCATTTTGTATGCCCCATCATCAAATTGAAGCTTATCATTAGCCAAAGTTTTACAAAGTGCTCAAAAATCATTGAAGTCGATGTCTTTCTTAACAGCTGGATTAAGAAATTGATCGAATTCTTGTAGACAAGTTGAAAGCTTTGAAACTCAAGTAATCTCACGTAAAGCAACAAGAATTCTTGCTTAGGCTTAAGGCTTAAGGCATTAGGCCATATTTTAGTACAAAATTGTGCTCTGTGATTGAATGTTCAATAGAATAAACATGCTGTGACCGAAATATGATTGAAATTTTATCAGAATTTCTTTTAAGTGCTCTTCATCTTGCAGATGAAACGACCAAATTGATGATTGAGCACTGTGCTGTACCAGTCATATTCAGGTGATGAACAGTACCCATTTGCATCAGAAGCTCTTGGCATCTAAAAGAGTGATTTCATGTTACAGAAAATAAAGGATTCCCTTAATCAATCAAAGCTAAATGTAAGCAATTTGAAACGTACACCCCAATATCCGGTACTCGCCGACCAGAAGCCGTAATCAACAGTGGATCCATCAGACCAGCTGCCGCTTCCCTTTTTGCCATTTCCATCCAAACCGATCCAAACAAAAGCTCCTTCGCATGAAGAAACGGTCAATCGAGGTACCAAGCCTAAAATAAGTGCTTGGTTTTCTGAAAAAAGTATCAGATTTGGTACTAAAATTTACAAGTGACCGTTCCAAAGAGCATGTGCGACCTTAAACGACCATGAGATGCAAACGCCTATCGGACATGTCGAATCCGATGCTGTGTTTATTTTATTTTATCCGACGCGGAAAAGCGCATGCAAAGTTTCGGTCATTTTCGGTAAACTCTCACCTTACCTATAAGAGGGTGCCACATCGAAAGGAAGAAAAACCGCGGTGGTCTAGGGGATAATGCGTTAGGCTATCAAACTAGTGCAATTTTTACTAAGCGTTTGCATCTCATCGCCGCTTAAAACCTCCTTTGGAACGTTCTCTTGTTAGTCAAGCTTAACAAAAACTGTTTTATAGCACTCGAGTCCTTGTCGAATATGGCTCTTGATACAAAGATTGCTTACTGTAAACGAAATCGTCCTCATCAATTGAGTGAATGGAGACCAAGTGAGCGCCCATTTTCTGGCATTGCGACTCGGCGGCTTTCCATGTGTAGCGGTCACCGGTGAGCTCCTACAATATTGTTGTACATTGAAGCTTTATTTTACTCAAGCTTAGAAATAAATTGCAGTTTTTCTATATGGGATGGGGGTGGAGATAAGCAGCTCAGCAAAAAAGGTCAGCGAACAAAGTTTCTAGCTTTTGGTTTTGATAACCCTACACAATGTGGTGACGAGAAAGATCAGTGAAAGTCAGAAAACTGCAAGAAAGGGCACTAAAGGTGTACTCAGACGTGGGCAGCAATGATACTAGATAAAGAGATTGATTTTACCTTTGCATAATAGCAGCTGTCAGTCTTGTCAAAGTATTTCCATCCAAGAGGGCATTTGTAAGCGGCCATCGAGCAAAAGAATGGTCGAGCCTGGCGGCAATCGGCGGTTTTCCATTGCACATTCAACGAGTCCTGGATAGCGCAGAAATTCGTGCCGTTTTTCGGTTCGCCTAAAACTTTTTCATAGAAATTTAATTGGGAAACAGTCAGCTTTGGTCACTCACCAACGGCCCAGCTTTGGTAAGAGGGGATGGTACGATCGGCATAGACCCAGGCTCCACTCGTTTGTTGTTGCATGCCGATGAATTGCTCGGTGGTGTTGAAAGCTGAAGAGTTGCAGATAACAAAGATAATTTATATAAATAATAAATATTTATTGGGTTGGTGAATTGAAAACTGCCGGACTTTGAACTAAAATTTATTCAACATAAAACCATAAATTCATTCCAAATAATTTCCATAATTATTGACGACTTCTGCCCATTTTACAGGCAATTTGCGGGTTCCTCTTTCGTAGTAGGATTTTGGTTTGTGTGTGAGACAAGTGTGAGACTCAATGGAGGGCTCAAATCGAGGACTGTAGATGTCCCAGTTTGAGCACTTTCTTCAAAAGAAACCCATTTTGGTGTCAATAAAAATTGTAGAGAATCAAAAATTAGGCTTATAGCCAAATTTCCAAAAAGATACACTTAGTAGTTCCGCTTAAAATGCAAGTTTTGTGAAAATTCATAAATTTCGCATTTCTTGAAAACCAGTTTTTGAATCGTTCTGAAAATTTGGATATAAGCTTAATTTTTGATTCTCTACAACTTTTCCATTGACACCAAAATGAGTTTCTTTTGAAGAAAGTGCTCAAACTGTGACATATGACAATAGCCCGCAGTTTTCAATTCACCAACCCAATAACTCTTAAAAGCCAGCAATCTATCAATCGATTTATCTACAAGTCATTTAGTGAAACCGATCTTTGGGTATGTTATTTTGGAATCAAAATTCCAGTTCCTAAGCTTTGCCCAAGATTAATTGGATTAATTGCACTGTCTAATTACTCAAAACTTGTTATTATGCTCAATTTGTGGACCTTTTAGCCGAATTTCGACATTTTTACCTACCTTGAGCTGCATATGAGAAGATAAAACTGTTCTCAAAAGCATTCTGCACTTTCACAACAGTTCCACCCAATTGCTCGCATTGCCACAACGCGTCCATATAGATAGCGGCTGAAATTTTGAGGTTAGTAGCTCAGTTTCAAGCAAATTTCAAATTCCAAAACTTATTTCTCTAAACTAACTTGCTAAGCAAAAACTTGAAAAGCTAAAACTAACGTTGTTTAACAGCATAGATGCAAACGGGTTCATTCGGGAGTTGAGTCCATCCGGTTGGACAAGTCAATCCATTGACGGCCAAAAATAGAGAGCCAACACTTAAAATAATCAATGCAACCGCTTGCATTTTCCAGAAATGACAAAAAATGAATTGCAAACTTTGACTCGGTGCCTGTTATGCTCTTATCAGGCTGGGGGAATCCGGAAAAAAATGGGATTTACGACTCGATCAAACAATCAAACCAGCTACAACATAGTGCTTAGAAAAGGACATTGTCTGATGAACCGGATCATTTGTTCAAAGTGGTAAACTTTGCAGTGTTGCAAGTGTTGAAACAAGGCTTTGCTGTCTGAATTTGGTGGTTTTTGGTGATTAGACTCTTTCACCGAAAAGAAAGCCCAAAGTACTTCACTGGATTTTCTATTTTGAGTCATTTACTTCATTTACATCTCAAAATAACATTGTTTTTCAAGGTGACACTCTCTTTTGGTTAGATGATCTTGATTTGATTTGTATTATCTGCGTATTTGACTTCGTGCTGGTCTTCGAGTTCACTTTTTTGACGCCAGCTGTTCTTCTTAACAAGTAATAAGTCACCAAGCTAAAAGAGAGCTTTGAAATTTGACTGTTTTATGTTTGACTCACCCTGCCCAAATAGGAATAAAAGATAGTCCAAAGACGTCTTCATAGAAATAGAGCCATGCAGAGAGAAAGGGGCTGATTCGAACCAATGGGATTTGAACCATCGCAACAATGAAATAGTCCCAAATAAGCGGGAAATTGATTGCTATCATCTGAAAGTATTGTAACTCTGTAAACTAGCCATCTAATCCAAAACCGTGTACCAGATGCCGCTTTTTCCTACTAGACACATGAAAAGTATGCACATCCTGAGCTTAGAAAAGTTTCTGAGCTGTCGCGGCGGTTAACAGAGACAAAATTTCTACTCTACTAACCTGTTTAATCAGAAAGTTTTGTCGTTCAGTATCAATTCCACTCATTAGCCCCATTTGCTAAAGATTTTAAATCACGCAAAGCCGCTCAAATCCAACCTTCGCCTTAAAATAAGTGATTAAGCTTAAACCCAGTGATGTGGAGAATAACACGTAAGTGAGATCATATTGAAGAGTTTCACCCAAATCAGATGGATTCCAGAAGTCTGAAATAATGGAGTGGTTATTAGAGCTTATTTAGATATTCGAGCTTACCAGGAAATATTGTTCCGATCAAATTTAACCCGTAAATGATGATACCCAAGAGAATCGCTGTCATAGCTTGGAGTATAGGAAATGATTCCATGTGTCTATAATAGAGACCACCAAATGCAATTGCCATGAATCTATTTATTGAAAGACCTAGGATATTCAATTTTAAAGAATAAACTCAATTCGCTTACTTGTCTCACAACAAAGTCGAATAGTTCTAGCAACTGATAGGTAACTGTAGATATTCCAGCTCCACTGGAATCCGGCATCTCCACAATTGACAGAACTTTGTATACTTAAATAAATTTGTAGAATTTGTAGCAAAATTACAAATTTAAGCCAAAATTTTGGACATAGTGACGTCAAGAAAGCGGGAAAGCTCAGTCGCTCACCGTTCCTTCCGGTTATTGGACATTTGATACGCGCGCCGCCCCTTTTCCCATTGGCCGTCTAACTTTAAGCTCAAATATCTTGGTGTTGGGCTGTCCAATTTAAATATTCTTGGTATCATTAGTTTTTGTCTATCCACTGATACAAAAACTATTTAAATTGGACGGTCTAACACCAAGATATTTGAGCTCAAAGTTGGATTGCCAAAGACAAAGGGGGCGGGGCACGGGTCAAATGTCCCACAATCGTTCCTTCTCCTTTGGGAAAGGAAGGAAGCACCCTATCAGAGGAAGCAAAAGGGTACCTTATATTAGAGTGGTTTGCCAGACGGCAAGCGATTAGAAATTCAAAGGACACTTCTTACATAGGGATTTTACTTTTGTACTATAGATAATATAAAATGAAGATTCTTGCTTTGTTTCACTCAAACTCTGTAATCATTTCATAAATTGTGATGCAAAACTCCTTCCGTGGTCGCCAGTTAAACACACCAATCCTTTTATGGGTTGGGGCTGGGAATAGAAAACAAGGTCTGCGCCGGGATTTGAACCCGCGACCTCTGGCTTACTGGGTATCTTATTGATATCTTAGTGGTATCTTAGTGGTATCTTATTGCCCCCAGGGTAAGGCCTTATGTCTTACTAGGAAGCCATTGCAACACAACAAGTTTATGGTGCGAGTTGATTGTTTAAAGTCACACAGAAGACCAATTCCGTGTCAACAGCTTTAGCTGATGTCGAGAGATCATTAGATAGTTGGGTCAGCAGATTTTGAAAACTTGACCTGTTTAGCTTACAAAAGCTTAGAGCTATATAAAAAGTCACCCTTTTAATCCATAACAACCAAAAAAGAAAGCCGATGCAATAGATACGAGTAGTCTACCCGCTGTATCCACAACAATAAAATAGAGAACAACTCGAGCAAAGATACTTCGTACTTTATTGCACCAAACCAAGGAAATGGCTTGAATAATGATCGAGACGATGCTTACCTGAACATTTACTTAAGCAAAAGTTAGCTGCATATCTTGAAAGTCCAGATTTAGATATTTGTCTACTGTAAGTATATGTCGTAGCCGATTATGAATGAGTGGGTCTATGAGCGTCCAACCATCAAGTATTTAGTATCATTCAACGCAGAATCATTAATAATTATGTTAAATTTTTTAAATTAGAAAGGTTGGATAAAGAGAAAAAAATTATGGGGCTTCAAAGTTTTCTCTTGAACAAACAGTTTTTTTGCTCTAATTTTTTTTCTTTTTATGCAATCTTTCTAATTTAAAAAATTTAACATAATTATTAATGATTCTGCGTTGAATGATACCAAATACTTGATGGTTGGACGCTCCTAGACCCACTCATTCATAATCGGCTAAGGGGGTCCCGCCGATTTTGAATGAAACGTTGTAACGCCGGCAATTTTTAACCTAAACTCACAAATTTGGTACCAATCGACGCAGAATTTAATTCGCTACAGGATGATATAATATTGTTTTCATACATTAAGGGGTTGCTCTACTAGAAAGATTTGCCAAAAAATTTCATTCATAATCGGCTACGACATATAGATCGAACAAACAGTATCAAAATTTTGACAAAACTAACCCCACTGACGAAAAGCTGTACCCAATATCGATAATTTCCTTCAAAAATCTCGTCATAATAATCGTAATATGTTGCATTTTTAACCATTTCGTCAGCGCAAAGTGAATAAAATAAATCTCCAAGAAAGAGAATCGCTAAAGTGTATGTTTATAATAAAATTGCCATTGATTTACCGTAAATTGATGCAATTGTAAAGAAAGCAATGAGGATATCAAAGAAATTTCTAGATAGCATTACTTTCAGAAATTATCTTTCTCTAACAAAAGCTTTCCATGAACTCCGATTTACCCAGTAATTAGGGAGTTTTGCTCGTGAGTGGCTATTAATCTCCTGAAAAGCATAAGTTATTTATGAAAAAGTCGACTAGCCGATTTAGTTGTTCAAGTTAAACAGGAAAAAGTTTAGAATCAAAGATTGATGGTGGTTAAAACAAGGCGAGAACGAGGAATATGGAAGTTTGTGGAGAAAATGCCAAAGTTAGTTGGCAAGATATCCGATGTGCAATGCTGGATCATTATTGTTCGAACCTGAAAAGTTTAAAAAATGCCTATACTTGTAAATTTGTAGCAACGCCTTTTCAGGTTTTGAATTATCAAAAGGAGTTTAAACTGAAAGTTTAGCCGAATCACGAGGATTTTCTCACCTCCACAAAGAAGAAATCTATCTCCGAAAACTGTGGAGCTTCTTGTGAAAGTACATGAAGTGGCGGACCTAAGACAACCCACGACCTCGAGAGTGTAAGTTTTTATTTTGCTAAAATTTAACCCAAGTGATTTACAGAGTTTTCCCGCCACTTGACACTCTTGACTATGGACTCCAGCAACTGAATGCTTTGATGGAGAGTCAAAGTGTGGATCACGAAAAGCTCCCCCCAATATTTTGCGACGAAGATGATTTATCTGATACGGATTCTGTTGAATTTTAATTTATTTGCTATTTGCTTGCTTTTGTATTTTCTTGTTAAAAATAAACTTGTTTTGCCGTTAAAAAGCTCTGTAGACGCTCCAAAAAAGGCCAAACCCCCGGTTTGGCCTTTTTTTGAGAAATCACGCTTTCCCGTTGTGATATTCGTGATCAGCATGCAAAAGTACCTAGGAAAACGAATTTTCAGGTACCTCCCCGCCCCCTAGTGTGGAAGCACCCAGGGGCGGCCTGGGCGACTCCCTTTCACACATTTTTAAACTTTGTCGTAATAATGAAAGTTGCTTAACCCATTCGCTGCAGCGCTAATTGAGCTATTTTCATTCAATTAATTGATTTTTTTGCTGTTTTTCAGCATTACATGTATATTCCAATTGTAACAGATCTACAAATTACCTGAGCAAAAAAGACGTGTCATATTTACCCGGAATCAATGCAGCCTCTGATTTTGCATTGAAATTTTTCATAACAGCTCTAATCTTATAAACCCGATCTCCTGCAGAATCCAGTTCATTATCACAAAAACGCAGGTTTCGAAGAATAGATTCAAATTTTGCTTTTGACATAATGTGGGACATGTGGGAAAATCCTCCTAATCCAGGCCTGCTTTGGCCTGGATTAGGAGGATCCATCCACGATTCCCATTTGAAGATACAGAGCCAAGAAGAGCTTGAAAAATTTTGCATGGAAATACTGCCAGTTTGTTTTCCTTTTTCCATGTTTATTAGATTCGCTTACTAACATATTGATTAATTTGTCGTCGATAAAATAAGAATAATAATCGATAGGATCTTGAAAAGTACTGAAGTCAAATCCAAATCGTTCTTCATCAAAAATAAATGGTGTAGGAGACTCTCGTAAATCTTTCCAACCATCTGGATAAACTGCATCGTCATCCTCTTCCTCGGATTCGCTTGAACCTGATGACAATACTTCTGGTTGAATTAGTCGATCATCTGATCCATCAATAGACTCCAAATCACTGTCAATAAATAAATTATTGAAAGAATCGTGCAATTCGTCATCCATAACGTTATCTAAAAAAGAATAACAGATTAATATATAGAAATTATCAGCAATAATATAAAATAAAACGTCAGCAAAAAAAACCGCAGGAACGCTGCAGCGAAAGAATGTCAAAAAAGGGCTTGGTTTGCAGACGAAAAAAAGAAAAAACGCTGCGGTTTCGAATGGGTTAACTAATCGAGATGCTTAGATCTCTGCAAAAAAAATTTCCCACCCGCCGGGGGAGGGGGGCGGGGTGGCTTTTGCACTCTAATCATTAGCAAGTGACAAAAACGCATCATGTGCAGCCCTATAAAAGTCAAACAAGACTGAAAAATTATAGTCTCTATTGTTTAAGAACTTTTAAAAATATTCTTTGACCATTTTCTTTCTCTATTGTAAGACGTACTTTTGTCGTTGCTCGGGGACAATCACTTCCTAATTGACTTTTTCCCACCGCCGCCACATTCAATTTACGCTTCACGCCTTTTGCAAATTCATTTTCAAACTATTACTAAAAAACTACTACTAAAAAAATTCTGAATCATTCCTCCAAAACAGCTTACATTAAAGGCGCTCTAAAGTATCATTTCCTACATATTCTTATTTCTTTACCACTTTCTAATGGCTGACAATTTCTCTAGCGAACAAATCGAAGATTTTAAAGAAGTTTTCTACATGTATGACAAGGATGGAAGTGGATCAATATCGGCAAAAGAGTTTGGTAAAGTTATGCGAGCTTTAGGACAAAACCCCACCGAAGCCGAATTGAATGCAATGATTTATGATGGAGACTCGGATGGGAACAGATCGATCGATTTTGAAGAATTTCTTGGAATGATGGCTGAAAAGATGAAAAATCCGATTATGGATTCGGATGTTCGAGCGGCTTTTCAAGTATTCGATAAAGATGGAAATGGTTTTATATCGGCGAAAGAGTTGCGACATGTGATGACGAGTTTGGGTGAGGCGTTGACAGAAGAAGAGGTGGATGAAATGATCGATGAAGCGGATGTGAATGGAGATGGACAAGTGAACTATGAAGAATTTGTGGCCATGATGAGTAAGCAATAAAGATTATTGCAATTTTTACATTCAAAAATGTCACTTTAATCAATCAACCAATAATATTTATCATAGAATCAGTCTTTTCCATTGATTTGGGTTCAATTTCACAACAGATCCGTGCTTTTTTGCTAAAAATAGTATAGCTTTAAACTTTTATAGATTTAAAAGGCTTCACAAGATACAAAAACAGATTACCTACACACAACATCTCTGCTTTCTTACTGATTCATCTGGAAAACAAGGCCAAAGTTGGTCGACTTTACGAGCAGCTTCTTCAGCTTGTTTCAGTAAAGATTTTTCTTGTTTTGGAGACAAATTCTTCTCTGAACGTTGAGTTAAACACGTTATTTAATCTCTATCACCACGAAATTCTTTTCTGACAATCGGTAGCAGATTTGGGTCAAATTTTGATCCATGATAGAGTTGGGTCCCTGAAAACATGTGCACTATTGAATTTGAATGAGAAACAGAATGCAAGATGTGGGTTTTGATATGTTTTTGTCTTACAAGAAAGCCTGCTACCATGGCCGACTGGCTAAGGACCCTGTATCTATAGTCGGCAGGTCAAGCGTTCAAATCCGCCGACCAGATTACTAGGTTGGTGCGAAAGAAATTTCGGTTTTTTATAAACATTAGATTTAATCAAAATTCCTTTAGGTAACAAGTTATTCCAAACAATAAGCACCATCGTTATCTATAACATCCCTCTAACGTTGCTACAGCTTGCGGATCCCCTTATCGAAAAACTCTTGATTCTGGGATTGAAAGCAATCGATCATCCAAAATCTCGACCTCTTGCGCATTCTTAAACTGGCTAGTCGCAAGGGAATGTTGCATCGATGTGAAGAGGTGGAAATCAGATGGTGATAAGTCTGGGCCATATGGCGCATGCGGTAAGCCATTCCATCTTAATTCTTCTAACTCCATACAAGAAGCTTTCTTGGTTCATACGTTCATACAAGAAGTTCATACGATTGGTCTTTTTGATTATTTCCAAATGGCGGACAATTTTCGATTGATCACATTGGCGATGCTTGGCAAGCTCTCATGTTGTTTGCACTGGATCTGCCTCAATAAGTTGCTCCAATTCATTATTATCGGCCGAGAGATGCCCATGTGGTTCGTCTTCAAGTGTTTCAGTACCTTCTCGGAATAGGGCAAACTAGAGCTGGCAGGATCTTTCGGTGATAACTTGTTCTCCAAAAGCGGAACAGAGATCACGATGTGATTCGGGAGCGTTTTTGCTCATTTTGAAATCGTAGAGAAGACACGCGCGCGCAACATACTTTTTGATCCACCATGATCTAAAAAGTAAATATCAATTTAAGTAAAGGCTCTGACTTAGAAAAAGCGTAAAAAGAAAGTAAATATCCAAGGGTACAAATATACAAAAAAAAGATCAAATCAAAAATCAAAGATCTCTAGATTAAAAAAATAGAACATTTTACACCGAGCGAAATTTCTTCTGCATCAACCTAGTATAGGTTCTTTTATATATGTTACGTTCGATCTAGAGGGAAGTGTGGTCAAACGTCCGATCTAGAATCAAGCCGGATCACTTTAAATCAGACGTCCGGTCCAGCCCCCAATCTAGATCGGATCTAGATCGGACTTCACTTCGCTCTAAATCGAACGGATTTCTAGAGCGGACGTAACAGATATTTGGGCTTTTTCTTCTCTACATTTAGGGCTTAGGGGTTGAATTTGTGTATTGTTTTTACCACATTATTTGTGTGAACAAATGTATTTTTTTACTTACAAACATTTGGTGGGCGAGGTCGAATAGGTCTAACCAAACCCCCTCCTCGGCCTCGATTTGCTCCATGAGCTTCCATTGTCCACAACAGAATCCACCGCTGATAATGATAGTCCACAGTATTTGATTCCTGAGCTGGGTTATGGTTTTATGGTTTTCAATAAATTTTACCATATTTTCTTTCTTGTATTTGCTGATCTTGTTTAAGTGTCTCTTCAACTAAACTAACTGATTTGTCTTGCAAAGATTTGTTACTTTTCTTGAAATCAAAAGAATTCACATTGGGGAGAGAGATCTTCAAATCCAATTTTAGTCCAAGTCCAATTCTTCCTGAAAATTGTTAAAGGACTAAAGAGAGGAAAAATTGCTAAAGAACTAAAATTTGCGTTAGAGAAAATTGACTAAACTTTCAAGCATGGTTGAGTGTTGGCATTTGATACTTACACAGATTACTTACACTTACACAGGCATACTTATACAGATTAAACTTCTTTACACCAACTTTTTAGCGTCTTTGTTGAAGGAATTGCAGTAAATTCTTGTTTAAATGTGGTTTCTCTCATTTGAAAAGCAAGAGAATCAATTTTTTAAAGTCATGACATGTTGGTAGGAAAGTTGTTTGCTTGAGTCACGAGTCAGCGTCAAAACATACAATAAAACTGATTTCCTGTGCAGTTGGTTTGTTAAAGAAATTGCTAGAGACACAATGTAAGGCTTGCATTTTTAAAATACCAATTTTGAAGCCAGCTGATTAAAGAGTATAGCCTTTAAAAACTCGAAACCAATCTAAACCACGACTTTTGCAATGTAAATCACGAAAAACTCACTTCCTTTCAAAGCCGACCACAATTCACTGTCAATTAACAAGCAGTTAAACAATCGCAGTTCAAAGTTTAATCTGGAAGACAGTTTAGTTTAGCACAGTCCTGACACAACTGTTCGATTAAAATTCGAGCATCACATGCTTTTGCTTTAGCATTATAAACTGGAAAAACTTCTCGAGTATACAATTTGTTTATGTGCCAGGCTTAAACCTACAATCTTTTTTTCAGCTGCTTTTCAATTGATTGACAAATCTCTGGTAAATTCCGCCTATACCTGTAGTTCCCACCATTTTTTCATGGTACTTCAACTTGCGATTGTGCCCAGTTGTGCGCGATTATGTTTTCTTGGTTTGGTATTGTGAAAAATTCTTTGTTGAACACGTCTCGAACGACGTCTCGTCTCGACTCATTCAAACAAGCATTAGTTCCTTAAAAGAGCTGCCAGTTTGAATCATTTGTATTGCACGAAAACATCGTAACATTTAGCTTACGGCCATAGTCTTTTCTTACAAAAGAGATGAACCTGGCTCTGAAAATGCAATAAAGATTTCTGGGTTTGATTGAACTCTTTGAGTAGCCAATAAGGCCAACACTGCAAACAGATATTAGCTTTTTGCTGTTCCGATTCCGATAAATATTTAAAATAAGGTTTTAATTCCTTAAAAGCTGTTCATTTTAAGTTTGCTTGTTTTAAATCTAAAATAATAAAAGTTGCTGTTCTACCACCTCAAGAATTCAAGCCTCTTTTTTCTTTTGACGTCTTTATCGACCCGGAAGTAGACAATGGGGTTAAAAATTGCAGATTCTAAAGGATTCAGGCAAGAGGATAAAGAAAAGTCAAAAATTTTCATGGGTCCTTTTTAAGAGAGAGAACGGGGGGTCAGAAAGAGGCCAGGAGGTCCTTTTGGGAGTCTCTTCTCCATTTTCCCTTTTGCTTTCCATGCTATCGATCTTGGATGCTTCTTTCTTTTTGGGGAGAAAAGTGAAAGAAGAGAAAGGGATGGACGACATCGAATTTGAGAAAGAAAAGGAGAGAAAGACCCACAACCAACCCCTTCCCTTTCTGCCTTGTTAGAGATTTCTCCAGAAGTTCGTTCAAAATTTCTGACGCCTCTAACTCTTTCCCATTGATTTTAAATGCAAATTTTAACGTTTTCAATGAATCTTAAACTTGTTAGGTGTTTGTATCTTGTAGGATAAAGTATTAGTTGTAAAAATACTAATCTATTAATTATCTTAATAATATATTAGTAAAAATAAAGTCGTCACTGATAACTATGAACTTTATTGATAAATCTAAATTTGCATACACTTTTATAAAGCTTTAAAATGTGAATTCGATGCATAAATCTTTTTCTATTCGTAAATTTAAATAACTATTGTGCTTATGTCTATGAAACCTATAATTTTCACTTCAAAATCCCAATTTCAACTCGATAACATAGCCAAAAAGCCAAGAGATAGGCAAGCTTTGTTTACTCTGAGAAGTAATATTGCCAGGAAATTTGAATCCTCTTTTTGTGGCTACATTTCTACGAGAAAATACCAAAATTTCCCAGAAAAGCATAAATTTTTCCTCTAATTGAAGTCAGTCCGCTTGTTCGCTGAATATCGAAGTACATCATGTGCCTCTGTTTGCTCGTTTGCACACTGTTGCCTCTTTTCTCTCATTTGAGTGAAGAAATGATGCTGGAGGAGCCTTTTGGACCTCTCATTCATTCCTTTTTCTTTCCCTTTCAATGTCTTTCATTCAATGGATCTTCTAACATCCCCCACTTGAAAACCTATTCATTTTACACTCAATGACTCAGTAACGAAACGAGAAAAGTAAGCGGCTCAGTTTGTTTGAATGAATTTCATTCTTTTTTTATAAAATTTTGTCTTTTTCAGTGAATTCGAGACTTCTTCATTGCTTTTTTTACTTTATTGACTTGCTAAAGCCAAACTCTTTCAGAAGATGAGCTCCGATTCGACAGATGAAGAGCCGCAAAGGCCACGGATTGTCGATGGACACTTCAGGTGGGTTTTCATCAATTTTCAGTTCCAATCCAGACCAGTTCAAAGATTTTCAACATTTTGGTAGTATTTTCACAATTTCAAATAGAAGAAAGTAGAAAATTGTAGTCGAAGCAGGCAAAAAGTGCATCAAAGGAAAATCAATGAACCCAACACCGGAAACCGCCAATTATTTTCCGGATTTAAAACTTCTAAAAGACTTTGACCTTCTAGAGATTTTGTTAGAAAAATCATGTTTTAAGTTCAAAGAACAAGGGGAAATTCGTTTGATCCAAAGTTAACTTTCAAGTTCCATAGATGCCTCAAATTCATAGATACAAGTTCGTGATCCTTGACCTCAATAACTTTCCAGAGGTCACCTAGACTTTTAAATCTTCTTCGTCACCTGGAGTTTCTATTTTTTTCATCATTTTTTACGAGGTGGTCCATAATATCCGAATCGGAACCTCTTTTTTTGGGGTTTTTTGGGGGAAAGCTCTCGTCGACCACATGTCTGATTTATTCATTCCAACGAATTTCCCCTCCACCGGAGACGCCCCTCTCGTTCAAGAAAGGGGAAAATTCTCCATCTTGTCATTTTTTCTCAATTGGGTTTCCAGGGTTTCTTAATTTTTAGCCAAATTTTCTAGAATTTTCTTCTCAAAGATAAATATGACGCGATTTTCAGCTGTAGTAAACTCAATGACAAAAGAATGAATTCAAACTACTAAGAATTAAGTAGAAACTTTCTTATAGACTCTTTTGATCTTTAAATTCCGTTATTGTCAACAAAACTTGGTTTTGAAGGTAAAACTGGTTGGGTAGAGACTAGACATGGGCAAATTTCAACCCGAAACGAATTCCACCTTCGTTTTCTCGGCTGTTTCTTGGCCGTTTCTTGGGCGATTGCTCTGAAATTTTGTCTACAAGATGAAAATATCGGTTTCTATTTGTAGACAGAATTTCAGAGCAATCGGCCAAGGTGGAATTAGGTTCGCGGTTGGAAATTTCCCATGTCTAGTAGAGACCAGCCTACACGGTGGCGCACCATTATGGAAACTCGATTCTTCGACTGTAACTCGACGCCCAATCTTTCAATTCCCTTAATTTCATATTTATATATAATTGCGAAATATAAATATTTCATATAAATATGAAATTAAGGGAATATTTATATGAAATTTCAAGTTAATTTCTGTGGTCAATTTCAATTGTTAGTTCAGAAGCACAGTTTTACGCTTTTTATAGTACTTCAAAGTTCAGAGGTGCCAATCTCTTGGCAGAATCGTTGTTTGGCAGGATTTGCACATATTTTGAAGAATCTCCCGCTTCGTATTGCCTCATTATTGCTTTTTATTGAGAAATAGAATCATTTGGAGTATTTCAAATTAGAAGCTTTTCAATAATTTCAGAATTTTGAGAGTCAATGGTTGATTTCCTGAAAGCTGAACAGAGAAGTGATCTGTTTGATAACTTCTCAAATCAGTCCTGATTTGTTATCTTGCAAAGTTAATGTTAAGTTCAGAGGTGCCAACCCCGAAATATAAATATGAAAAAAAGAATCATCGTTGTCGATAGTTTCAATTCTCGAGAATTGCCCACAAATCGACCAAATCTTAAGTTTTTCCCACTTCTTGGTTAAATTTAGACAAATTAACATTAACTTTGCAAGATAGCAAATCAGGAATGATTTGAGAAGTTATCAAACAGATCACCTCTCTGCTCAGCTTTCAGGAAATCAACTATTGACTCTCAAAATTCTGAAATTATTGAAAAGCTTCTAATTTGAAATACTCCAAATGATTCTATTTCTTAATAAAAAGCAACAATGAGGCAATATGAAGCGGGAGATTCTTCAAAAATATGTGCAAATTCTGTCAAAAAACGATTCTGCCAAGAGATTGGCACCTCTGAACTTTGAAGTACTATAAAAAGCGTAAAACTGTGCTTCTGAACTAACAATTGAAATTGACCACAGAAATTAACTTGAAATTTCATATAAATATGAAATTAAGGGAATTGAAGAATTGGATGTCGAGTTAAAATCGAAAAACCGAGTTTCCATAATTGTACCCTGCATTTAAACCTCACTTAATTTGACCTTTTATCGTTTTTATCTTCAAATTTTTTTTTCTTAAATGCCATATTTTCATCTTTAAATGTTTAAATGTTTAAATTGCTCTGTAGAAACTTAAAATAGTTTCTTTTCCAATACTTATCCTTTCCAATTGTTTGTACAGCTCTTGAGACAATGTGTCAAGCTCTACGCATCACTTTTAAACCACTGACAATAAGTCAAGTTCACAGCTGAATAGCGCTTTGTTTCAGTAATAAATTTTGATGTTTAGAGGGATGAAAGAAATTCTGTCCACTATGGAGCCGGATACCGATTTGAATACGGTGAGCGAGCTGAAGGAAAGGGTTCATCTTCTTTGTGCGAGGTGAGTGAAACAAATGATTCCAATCCATTCATGCTTCCAATGCAATTCATGCTTCCAATGCAAATTTAACTAATCTATATTCAAAGATTTATTAGGTTGTCCAGTTATAAATGCGCGTTTTTAAGATAACAACTCTTTATTTTAAAACCAACAGCTTAGCAGCTCAATCAACAATATATTCACCATTTGTCAACAATATTTGTTTCCATCTTCCATGCAAAGAATGAATTCCCTCCGCGTAAAAATTGGCTTGTTTTGAGGCAAAGAAGTCGGCTATCCATTTTTCGACCTCTTGAACTTTTTTGAACTTGTTTCCGGCCAAATGGTTAATAAGTCATACCAAAGACTGGCACGAAGACGAAACTTCGTCTCGGTCATCTAAACACGGAAATTAAATCAAAAATGAATTAGTTTAACGTCAAAAATTTTCATCTCAAGTAAGGATTTCATCGTAAAACCCAGTATTTTTTGCCAAACAAAGAAGAATACCCACCATAGTGACACGAGTAACTTTATCGGCATTGCTGAGAAGATGAGGAACCCATTTCCCTTGTCGGCTTGTTTTCCCCAATCGATGTAAATGCTCGGAAATTGTTTGCGGGCTTACTCTAAATATTTCTGCAAGTTCACGTGTAGTTTGTCGAGGATCCATTTCTATCGCCTGCTTCAGTACTGCATTATCGATCTCAGGAGGCCGTTGCTGGTGGTTTTCGTCTTCCAAAGATTGATTTCCTTCTCGAAATCGTTGAAACCATCGGCGATACTGGCTTTCCGAAATAGCATCTTCGCCAAATATTTTGCAGAGATCTCGATGAGATTCAGCAGCATTTTTGCCCAATTTGAAGTCATACCAAAGACTGACACGAAGACGAAACTTCGTCTCGGTCATCTAAACACGGTAATTAAATCAAAAATGAATTAGTTTAACGTCAAAAACACGAAAAGTTATAATAAATAAGAAATCTTGAACAGCATATAGAGAATAGGGTTTGATAAAATTGTATAGCCCTAAGGTACGCTGTTCAAGAGCAGGCGCACATTCATAACTGGACAACCTAATAGAATGCTTTCCTTTGAGATTAAGATTGATTTACCCAATCAAGTCTTTACAATTTCCTGATTTTTAGATTCCTTGGCGGTGCTTGGAAAAATGCTCCTTTAGACGATTTGAGGATTTCAAGGATAAAGTGACTTTTCTAAATCATTTCTATTTCAAATTTACTTAATTTCATTGAAATCTAAATATTTCAAAGCCAAAAAAACCAAAATCATGGTATTTAAAAGATCAAAATCAAATTTTAGAGGCGGAATGAGCAATATGCTATTCTTATGTAAACTATCGGAAAGACATCGACCGATTCGGAATGAACCTGATAAAGTTTGTCAATATTGTGATATTGTTAATTCTTGATAAAGTAAGATAAGTGATAAGTTTCCAGGTGCTACTCAGAGTCTATTTCAATCCAGAAACGGAGTCTCATTTGGTGGCAGAATCAGTGATCTTCACTCTTCTATCAGAAAGACATCTTGGCCCGAAACTTTATGGGATTTTCTCTGGCGGAAGATTAGAAGAATACATTCCGGTTTGTATTTTAAAGATCTAAACATATTTTAGCTTTTTATTTTAGTCTCGTCCACTTTCATGCAGAGAAATAGCATTGTCAGCAATGTCTGGAAAGATCGCAAAAAGATTGGCGAAGGTTCATCAGTTAGAAGTTCCTATTTGGAAGGAACCTGATTATATTTGTGATGCTTTGGATAGGTGGGTGAACTGACTGTAATAAACTTATAGAGAATTAGCCAAAAAGCTGAAAAGTGTATAATCTAGTACTGGGAAATAACAGAAATAGTGACCAGAAATAACGGAGTGTTTTTGTGGCATGAAAAAATACTGAAAATCAAAAACGTTCTCTCTAACACAAAAAGGGAAAAGGCTATTTGAAACTAGACAAGTTTTAGATATTTTCTATCAAAGTTTAGCCATTAATATAGCCATATTCTCAATTATTCACACAGTACTTGTTAAAATAGATTGTTAGATAGATTCTTAAGCTTTAAAAACAAAAACTGAAGTTTTCCTTTAGCAAACGGGGATTAAAAGATCACAAATTTGGTCTTTAAAACTTAAAGGAAGTAAAGAAAACATTTTAAATTTTATTTTTAGCCATACAATCTGTTTTTAAAACGAAAACAGAAATTTTACTAATGGATTTTCCCAAAAAAAATGCGGTTTGATGCACTTTCTTCTAGGGTTTTCTAAAAAGTTTGAAGCTGTGTTGTTAGATTGAGAACGATGTTTTATACTTAAAAAATATCCAATCTTAAAAATAAATATAACAGCTTTACATGACTCTGGCTATCAAAAGGTTGGTAAAAAAGAAGATTCAACCAAAATATTCCGTTATTTCTGGTCATCCTGGATAACGATGATGCGACAGGATTATTGCAACTAATATCTTTTAAGGATAGAAACCGATAAAAGACAAATCAACTCAAAAACTTTAACAATTCATTTTTAAAGATTTATTAAACAAGAAAAGCTACTTTTTAAAAAAGATTTCTGTGGGCAGAAATGTAGGAAAAATGACATTTAGGAATTGCATTCAATGTGGCAAAATAGTAAGCGGGATCGCGTTTATCGAGCTTTTTAAAGCGATTTCTTAAGCGAATTGATACTGGAATGCGGTTTTGAGCACGTTTTTTTGCTTCAAGGATATTCCAAACACTGAAATCTATCAGATTAAGACTTGATCCGATAAAAGTAACAAAATTGGGAAAGTTTTGCTTGCGCTAGTCTTGTGATCATAAGCATCATCCTGCATAAAACATCAAATTCTGTCGCCAAAGCGATTTTTGGCTCGCCGAAGAAGATCTTTCTTAAGTCTCGAGATTGTTGTTGGAACTAACATTGATACCCTGAGGTAGTTGCAATAATTCTGTCGCATCCTGCAGAATGATTACCAAGTTAGAGCTCTAGGTTTGATCTCATTGCTTCTAAAAGCTTACTTATTGCATTCTTGAAACGGTTTTAAAAACCGAGTCTTGAGTCCATAGCGCCATGACTTTGTGTGTAAACAAAACCATTTTGAGATGGCTCTACCAACTAATGCAAACCCCATCCGGTGAATCGACGTTCAACATCAGTGATGAGTACAGTTCTTTCATTCCCGAGCCGGTCACTTGCCAGACGATTGCTCGAGAATTCGATCATTTGAGGTAGATTTTGGGACATTTGATACGCGCCCCACCCCTTTGCCATTAGCAACTTTGCGCTCGAATTTCTTGTTGGGCTTTCCAAATGAAATAGCTTTTGTACCAATGGACAGCGGAAGATTTGGTACATCCAATGATACCAAGAATATTCAAATTGAACAGCTCAACACCAAGATATTTGAGCTCAAAGTTAGATTGCCAATGACAAAAGGGGCGGGGCGATGGTGGGACCTTTTATACGCGAGGCCACCTTCCCCCCCCTTTGCCACTGGCATTCTAACTTTGAGCTCGATCTTGGTTCTCAAACTCAACCTGTCCAATTTCACTAGTTTTTGTACTAATCGACAGAGAAAGGCTTGGCGCATCTAAAGATATCAAGAATATTCAAATTGAACAGCTCAACACCAAGAAATTCGAGCTCAAAGTTAGATTGCCAATGGCAAAAGGGGCAGGGCGCGTATCAAATGTCCGATAACCTTTGAGGTCCCAGTCGATACTTGAATCATTTCCAAATCTTATTTTAGACTGATGATCTCTAAAAGCAAATCCCCAGTGGCTTTCTGTCACAACGACCTCCAAGAAGGGAATATCTTGCTTCCAAAAGCATCTTCGGGGAACATTCGATTGCCGTCATTGTCGGATGAATTTGAAAATGGTTTGTAATAGGCTGCAGCACTAAAAAAGTTAAGCTTTTGACTTATCATTCGATTTCTAGGTCCCACAAACACCCTGTCAGCTTTCAATCCAGCTGATCCAAAGCTGGTCTTGATCGATTTTGAGTACGCCAGCTACAACTATCGGTAAGTTGCTTAAAAATATGAAAACTGACTCATTTTTTTAAAATCGATAAACGATTGTGTTATCTTTTGAATCTAAAACCCTAAAATTTCCAGGGATTTGACTTTGCAAACCATTTCGTCGAGTACTCGATCGACTACGATTGTGACGAGGCTCCTTTTTACACAGTAAGAATCATGAAAACGACTATTTCCCAATTTAGTCAAAATTTTAAACTGATAACTGAATTTCAGATAAACGAATCAAAATTCCCTCGCAACGAGCAAATGCTTCAATTTTTCCAAAACTACTTGCGAGAATATGGCGGAATCAGTGAACAAGAGGTGCCAGGGAAATCACAGGAAATGTTGAGGGTTGGTTGGAAGTGCTGATTAGCAGATCAATGGTGGTTGTAATGTTGTTAGAATGTTAGAATTCATGTTGTTAGAATCGATAATCTTTTCATTCATTCCAGGAAACTCTTCCTTTCGTGCCAGTGTCTCACTTCTTCTGGGGTGTCTGGGCACTTCTCCAATTCGAGGTCTCCCCAGTTGGATTTGGTTTTGCGGTGAGTTTTGAAATAAACACAAACACTAAAGTTTTTCAAATTATCAAAGCATTTACTCATTCATTATCCAATGAAAACGATAGAAAAGTAGTTTATAGTTTGAAGCAGAAGAAAACGAGCCGTCATAGTTCTAGTTCAGTAGTTCATAGTTGATCCCACTGATCTCAATGATCTCACTTACGTGTTATTCTCCACATCACTGGGTTTAAGCTGCTATTAGTCATTCAAGCTGCTAAATGGGCTGCTATTAGTCATAACTTGGCTAGGTTTTGAGTTAGATTCAATAAAACTTGACACTAGTTCAGTGGTCTAGTTCAGTAGTTCATCCTAGATCCCACTGATCTCAATGATCTCACTTACGTGTTATTCTCCACATCACTGGGTTTAAGCTTAATCACTAGCTCAATTTTGAAGTACAGCTTGTTAACCTCTAAAAAGTTTTGCTTTAAGTTGAATTGAAATCTTTTTGATTCAAAGCACTATCTGGGAACAGATTTTGAGGAATTCGATGTTTTTTCAGCAAACTAGTAAAAATCTGGTAAAAGCTCTGGTAAAACTTTCAATGTACAGTAATTTCAGGATTACGCCCGTGATCGCTTAGGCTTGTACTTCAAGAGTCGTCATTTGATGGACAGTCTCAACCCAATCTGAGCAATATTTCTCTCCTTTTACCGTTCCATACTGCATTCACTTTGCCCATTTAATAATTTCAATGCCTGTAGTAATGTGTTTTTCATGAAATAGCCAATTTTATGGGTTTTCCACTAGTGTTCGTCTAGAGTTAAAGAAATTTCTTTGTTTTTAACCGAATTATTTATTTCTAATCCAATTACGAGAAAAAGTATAAATAAAATAAAGATATTCAGTTGAAAGAAGCAAACCATAAAATAGAAAAAAGAAAAAAAAACGAAAGAAAACGAAAGAAAACTTGGAATGTTTGTAGGGAATGGAATTCTCAGATTTCCAAGAAAATTTTGTATAAAACAAAAAAGGCACAAAACATAAAAATGATCAAAGAGTCAAAGCAGAATAAATAGAAATTTTGGATGATTTTTCTTGAAGATATTCAGGTAATACCCATGCTTTTCATGATTGCAATTTTGGAGTTGAAAGGAGTGTTTCGGAAAAACGAAAGGAAAACATAAACGCCACAACCAGAAACAAATACCCATATGTACAGGGAAATCAAGTAATTTAGGCGTCGATCTTAAAGTCGATCGATCTTAAAGTCAATCTAAGAGACGATCGAGACAGATTGAAATCAATTAAACAAGATTAATAAAGAAATTTTAAAGTTAATGGAGGTTTTGAACAATTCCCTGCTGTTGGATGAGACTCTCTAAGATCGATTTCATTTTTGTGGCTTCCGGGTTCATGAATGGAAGCGGAAACGGGAGTGGTGGCTGAAAATAGAAAATTTTATCATTTGTTTACAAGAAAACTCTCCTTTTTTTACGTTTTCATGCTTAATTTTAGCTAAAGAGTCAGATTTTGATGCAAAATTTCTTAGATTAGCCTGTCCAAAAAGTCTTTTCTTTCCTTTTCATACTTTTGTTGAAAAATAACAAACTCACTAACTAAACTATTTCCTAATTAACCTACTAATTAGCAAATCTTTAAATAAAAAGTGTTGATTGTTCAATTTCTCATCTTTTTAAGTCAATTTCGGTTCACTTTCAAGCAATTTCGAGAGTAAAGAACGTGTTTTTCGTAAAAATGTACGAAAACTTCTACGAAGAAATTGATTGAATCAATTTCTCTGAAAATTTGGCTGTATACATAACTTTTTATGCTCTATCTTTTATCTATTGACACCAAGATAGGTTTCTTTAGCCAAAATCTCTAAATTGCATTAGGTTGACGTTGCCATCGAGCCGTCGCCCTTTTTGACTACCCGACTTCACGCTCTCAAAAAAATCCAAATTTAAGGCATTTTTAAACCCGTTTTAATCTTTATTTTGCAGAAAAATAATTTGGGTTTCTAATGAAACAGTTCAAGTGCATTTTTGGTTTTAAACGAAGTACGAAAAGGAACGAAAATACCTTTTAAAGCCTAATCTGGCTTTCTGGAGTTCAATATTTTAGCTCAAATCTTTCAGCCAAGTCAAGCTGAGATACAAGATATTTTCTCATTTGCTAAATAGACTTACTCGTTCTATTCTCTGTTGCTGTTGTTGGTGAAGCTCGTTGTGTCGAACGATTTGTGACGAAAGAGCTCCAAGAGTGTTCTGAAGTTCGACAATTCTTGCCTCAAGAAGTCGAGCCCTTTCCTCGGAAGCTGCCGATTTGGAGAGATTTAACTAAATTTTTAGGTTCTTCATGTATTTACATTTTTGTTGATGATTCAATGAATTAAAGATTGTTCTCACCTCACAGTTGAAGCACTTGTTTTCCAAGCAAGCTGCTTCCAAGACTCCACTCGAGTGTGAATCGGAAGCAGTTGGTGAATGTTGATTGAACATTGGAGAGACGAATTGTTTCTCCGCTTGAGATCCACTCCTTGGTGACAATGCAGCCTGAATTGTTGAGATTTAAGAATTGTAAAGCTCAAAATTACCGTGTGCTCAATAACTCCGATCCTGGCGATTAGCTCGGGAGTGAGCGCTTCTTTGCTTTGTTTGAAGATCTCTCCCGGTTCAACACCAGTGTTTGAGCTAGGAGTGACGTTCTGAAATATTGAAATGTTTAGCAATTAGATTCTTTAGAGTAACGTTTTCCATCAAATAAAACTCACTCCAGAAGTGCTGGTGAATGATTCAGCCTCTTCATTGTTGATCTCAATTGCTTCATCAAAGTCTGACATTTTGTCCTGAAGAACATCATTAAGTTATTGATTTTGAAGTTTTACCTCACTGCTAGCAGTTTCACACTTGATTGGAATATTAAGATTTTGCTGATTTTGCTGATTATGCAGAAATTGGAATCCTTGGAATTGTTGAGCAAATGGATTGTTGGCTAGCCAGTTTGAGAGCCATTGAGCGTTAAAGTTAGGGATTTGAGGTTGTTGAGCGAGTTGGGCCTAAAATTTTATTGCTAACAAATTGCAGATAGTTTTATTGATTACCTGAGCTTTCAATCTGGCTAGAAGCAATTCTTGAGGGGCAAGTGGGAAGAGTTTTGGCACGGGAAGAGTGGGCGCACGGGGAAGACCGGGGAATGAAAGGGTGGGAGAACCGGACGAGCTGATTCCGGAATCGATTGGATCTAGAACGAATTTGATAAATTTTGAAACGATAAAGCTTTAGATTAAGTAAACTTCAGTACAGTACCTCCTTCAGTGTTACTTCTGGCAAGTACAGCCACATCTCCGGGATGATTGTTTCTGGCCATGCTTTGAGTGTGAGTGTGGAGGCTCGTCTTGTCCGGGAAAGCCCAATTGCAGCATCTAGATTGGCTTGTTGGATTTGAGGCTTTAAAATTTAAAACTTTGAAATGAAATCTTCCTTACTAAATCCCCAAATTCCGAAAAGAGTTTGATGGATTTAGAATGAATTTCTAAATCTTTTACAATCATTTCTCACTTGATTGCATAAAGATGTGGGTGGCTTTCGTAAAATTAAACTCCTCAGTGAAAGCTCAGGTTGGAAGATCTCCCTTGGGTCTTCCTAATCCTTTTTTTCTGTAGCAATGAATAGTGAAAGAGTCATTGCTGTCGTCAAAGCTCCTACACAAAAGTGAGAAGAATGAAAACAAAAGAGCAAGATTTCAAAAGAAAAAGCTTTTTCTAATATTTTCCTCCATAAATCTTTGATCTATAGCTTGGCTACAGAAGTCAGATTTGAAAGGATTAGCTTTTTGCTTTCATGAAGCCATAGTTTTTAAAGAAAAAAGGTATTTTGACGTAGCTACAAGATAAAAAATTTGATTTGAATTTCAGCTATAAGTTAGGGTTTCTTTGAATCAGCGATTTTACGAAATCTTGAGGCTTTATAGCTAGATTAAAGTAGCTGAGATTAAAGAGATCAAGTTGAAAACCTTGAAAAAGTTTTCAAATTGTTGCAAGTGCTCAGAATTATTTAATTACCTGCACATGAACATTCGGGAAATCGAGTGAACGCGGAACATATGCGAGCGGAGCGTCTCGTTGCCTGAAAATCTCTAGATATTGCAAAGAAAACAAGTTTTAGCTTTTAGATCTAACTGTCTTTACCTTTTTTAGTTTGAAACTACTTTGTGAACTACTTTAGAATCTAGTTTTTAACTTTTGAATCTAATTTCAGTTTTATAAACTTTAGCAAGTCTTCTTCTGACTTATTGTCGTTCATTTTCCCCCTCTCATTCACTTTCTACTAATTTCATTCAATTTCAACAACTTTTCTTTTAAACTTTTAAGTTTCCAAGGTTTCTTTTAAGTTTTCTAATTTTCTACAAATTGCAATCCCCAAAGGATTGAAAATTTCAATCCCCAAAACCCTTGTCATTTCCCGAAAATCTCGACCGCGCAAAAATCGCTCAGCTGCTCACCCAAAAAAATAACATTTGACCACGATTCGCCCGATTTTGACGTCGAATGACCTTGGGCCGAATGGCTAACTTCAACAAGGGGAAAAGAGGGGGAAATTAAAGAAAAAGGAAAAGTTAAGCCAGCGCAAAGAAACAGAAAAAAAAAGAAAAAAAATTGACCCGGCTTTCATGATGGATCAAATGACTTCCACTTATCCAATTTCCAAGAAAGTGATAAATGGGGTTTTTGGGAAGCTAATCAAGTTATGCTTTAGTATTTTGCTCTATTTTACATTTATATTATTGCAGCCATAAGCCAATCTTGATTATTTGCCCAAAGCAATTTGCCAATATTGACCTCCTCTATTGGTTGATGGGCTCAGATCATAAAAGAAGATTGAAAGGGAAAAAAGGGAAGACATGGGTGTTGCTGAGTGGATTGCTATTGTTTCCCCAAAGATCTTTCAGTCAGTCGATGAATGAGAGTCAATTAAGGGAAAGGCCACTGGGTGTCATGTTTGAGTATCATCTCCATCATGGTTCATAAGGTCACCACTTCCGGTGAGGCTTTGAAATTCTAGCTGTTTGCTTAGGGTTACGGTGATAGAAAAATGATACTTAATTCAATTACAAGACTATGAAACAGTTTGGTATTGCAAGCCTTTGAAATAGCCATTGAAAGGGTTACTGTAGGTTAGCGATTGCAAGTAGAGTGTGTTCGCGATTAATACGTTCTCTAAAACACGCCCCTAGAAAAAGTATCGTAATCCCGTCGTGAAAAACCCTTAATGAAATGAGTTTCGTACAAGAAAGACTGATTTAGCTTTGGCTTTGGCTTTGGCTTTGGTAAAATTGGTGGATTTGATCAACTATGGATTTAAAATTAAGCAAAATAGCTATATTTTTGAGTTCAGGATATAATATTCTTCATCGAGTGTGCTCCTCAAGATTAATATGTTTTCTAAAACGCGTCCTTGTCTAAAAGTACCATAATCCCGTCAAGAAAACATGCAAAATTAGAGAAAAAAATTACAAAAAAGCGTAAAATAAGCGTAATTTTACCATGGCCTTTAATCTCTTAATTTAACTTAACTAAATAGCTGCTCAATACGCGTTTAAAAAATGAATTGACGATTGATTGATTAGATTTCTAATGGTCTAACTTTAATCAATTAATTAATTGATCGCGAGGAACAGACTCTAGTTGCAAGCTGTGCTGGTACTTGCTTGCTTGCTCTCTTATGGGTTACTGTAGGTCTATAGGTTTCTGGATTTCTATAGATCTATAGATTTCTATAGATCTATAAATTTCTATAGCTCTATAGATTTCTATAGATTAACAACTCACTGGATATCTCTTGGTTGCATTGCGTGCATTGGTAGCTCTTGAAGTGTGCCTGCATTCGATGTCTACTCAGCGAACTCGAATGGCAAAACACTTTACCACACACCGAACACGGAAAGTTCCCTGGAAAAGTGACGTAGTTTCAAGTTTTGCTGTAAGAAATAAGTTCTTGGGCTCAATCTAACTACAGCTCACTTCTCAACGTCATTCTTCAGTCAGTAACAGTTTACACGATCTCTTTACCATCCTTTCAACTCTAAATTGATTACTAAACCCGCCTGGAATCAATTTTTTCGAATCCCCAAAAAGGGCTATCATACGATCGTTTTCCTTTTGCCTGTAGACCAAATAACCCGTTTTCTTTTTCCCTTCACTCAAAGCCAAATTTTTTTTGTGGAAACCCTATAGTTTTATGTTATGAGTACCTGACACCCCCACAATTTCAATTTTGATTAAAAATTGACATTTTATGACTATAAATCGGCAAATCCCAGGTACAAAAGATCAAGTAAAAAAAAAATTCAGTTTTTCAATTTTATCTGAACTCTGATCAATGAATTGCTTTAAATCTTATTTCATTCGAAATCTTTGTAGTCTTTTTTTGAATTTGATAGGGTTTAGTGATGAATAAGACAATAGAACTGAATTTTGAATCAGAACAACAGAAACTCAAATTCATCGTCATTCTGAATGTGATATTAATTCGTTGTGATATTCAATGTGATATTCAAATTCGCATACATCTAATTGAAGTCTCTACCTTTTAAATCCGGTCTTTTCAGCTCGGCTCGGTACGGCATTTTCGACTGAATGGTTGCGGATTGAATCTGAAAAATGATGATATCAACTGCTGTACTTTGGGACACAAAAAAAAGAGAGAATTTCGATAAAAATTGAATAGAAAAAAGCGGTTTATCACCAAATCTCCACTTGAATAAGGCTAAACGAAAGTGTTTGCTTTTGTAAAAATTGGAGAAGTATTTCCTGGATTTTTTGGGATATTTAGAGATAAACTGAAATGATTGGAGAAATTATTGTAAAGTGACGAGGACGAGGAATGGGGATTGAGGTAAGGATTGGAAATGGATTGAGAATGGATTGAGAATGGATTGGAAATGGTGTATGGAGTTGAAGATTGGAAAAGAAACGAGCAATCATGGTAGCGGTGAAAAGAGAAAAGGAAAACAGCTAACAACAGCTAGTATTGTATTCAAAACTATATATTTAATCAAAAATGAAAAGCAATAAGAAAATTTAGAAGTCAGAAGTTTAGATTAATTTGTGACAGTATCGAGTTCATTGGTACTGTCACTTTTTGAAAGAGCTTATGAGCTGTGAGTACGGTACCGTACTCACAGCTCATAAGCTACAGTACCGTACTCACAGCTCATAAGCTACAGTACCGTACTCACAGCTCATAAGATACAGTACCGTACTCACAGCTCATAAGCTACAGTACCGTACTCACAGCTCATAAGCTCTGACATTTTAAAATCAAATAAATAGGTAATGATAAATTGGGCAAGTTAAACAAGTAAGTTTTAAGAAAAATAGGTCAAAATGTATAAGACAAATAGCAAATTATCTGAAATCAAGTTTTCATACTAATGTTTGCCATTCAATTGCCATTCATGCCATTATAAAGCATAGCCGCAAATCCAAATAGAAAAAAACTCGTGGAAAACATTTGCTTATTAGTGAATTATCTCTGCTCACACAACGCAAATCGAACGGATTAAATGGATTAATGATTCGTCATTTCCAAAGTTTCAAAGGCCCATCTTCCAACAAAATTCTCACATCATCGTTGTGGGTGGCTGTAAGTGAAAATTTCACTCAATTTTTTGGCTAATCCGGCTTCTCATGTCTTTTACAAAAAGATGGGATAAGTCGTGGGGAAAAGCCGATTTTTCAGCACTCCAAATGAGACCAAGTGGCTATATTGGAAAATAAAAGGCTATTATCTGATGGGCATGAATGAAAAATAAAAGCTAAAGATTTCTGGGATTTTGCTAAATCATTCCACGAATAACAAACCACAGAAATCTATTGTTCTTTTTAGGAGACGGATTTTTCCCAAATCTGATTTTCTGGGAAGTGTAGAGGCCAGACATTACAAGTTCAAAGATTCAACAATTGCAAAGCTATTCAATAGGGACTTGACAAAGCTGTTTAGTCCATTGTTTGGGTAAAGATTCCTGAATATTGAATGAATAGCTGAATTAGCTGAATAAGTAACTTAAATTAGTCTTTGAAGCAATCAATCATAATTAAAATGAAGCCAGGACCAAAGCCAAGCTAGTGCTTTGGCTTTTAGAACTTTTTAGACTAATTGCAAGCTATTTAACTGTAAGGCTAACTGTAAACTGCTAACTGTACTTAAGTATACAAGTTGTAAGCTATTTAAGTATACTGTACTTAAGTATACAAGTCTAGCACTTGTCTAACAGTCTAACAAGTCAGTATAAACGCTCAAACTTTTCCTCTGACAACAGCTTAACAAGCCAATCTTTCAGCTATCGCTTTAAACAAGCTATCGTTCAGCAATAATCAACCAGTATTATAGGATCTACGTACAATAAAATGAGTAAGGTTCATTCATAAGGATAATGGATAAGGTTATCATTCATCAAACTCTTTCCCAAGTCTGAGCATCCAAACAGCAACTCTTTCATCCAAACACCCAAACTTTTTACAACCTAAATTTTTATACTTCCCTACTCTCATTGTTGTCTTTCAGAAAAAGTTAGAACAAAATCTTGAAATTCTTTTTAATCTTAGTGATTTTTTTCTTTCCAAATCAATTTTTGCTCAGATGGGCTCAAACAACAAATTTGATGGTACCAAAAATCTCAGCAAAAAAACTAGATCCACCCTCTCATCATTTAATGAACAAAACGGATAATCTGGACCAAAAATTGGCTCAATATTTGCCTTCAAATGAACTTCTTATTTGTGTTTAATATCTGAAGAATTCATAGGCTACAAAACGAATACTAATTGCAGATTTGACTCATTTGAAGAGTTTCTGAAATTGAGATTGATAGAAACCTACGTAAATAGATCAATTAGTCATCGGATCTTGAAATTATATTGGAGATATTGTTCTCGAAAGTTCATTTAGCTACAAAAATAGAAAAGGATCAAAAATATTGGAAGATATTGGATTAATTTTGGCTCGAATTAGGAATTAGAAAGATTTTTCTGAAGAAAACCAACGTTTTGGGGAAGCGGAAATTTCGCTTTTCGACCGGAAACGGATCAGCACGTAGGAAAATTGGAAAAGCTACAGTAGCTGGCTTAGATTTGTGTCCGAATTTGGTACAGATGATGTCAAAAGAAGGAACTAGATTTAAGTTTAGACATGTGGAGGAGTTGGGCTATTCAGTTTTTGTACCATATGTAAAATTTCAATTAAAGATTGTGAAGCAAGTAAGCCAAGCCAATTCCCTCAAAGAATAGTATTGTATCAAATATTAGAATGTAAATCTAGCACTAGATAATCGCTATAGATTCTATTGAAAAAGATCTACAGATTGGAACATATTAGATCTACGTTGTGAACTACGGTATTCCCGTCTGTTTGTACAGTTAGACCAACAATTGAAAATAACTTCAAACGAGCAAAGACTTCAAAAGTTTTCAGGATAACTTGTTGAGCTTGACTTCCGATTTTTAATTAAAATCAAATAGCTTGGATTCGTGGAATCAAATCATCAAATCATAAACCATAGTTGAGCCCAGAAGAGTAAGCAAACCACTCAAAATTTTTTCAGAAACCACTCAAAATCTTTTCGAAAACAAAAAGTAATAAGAAAACCATCAAGCACTGCTGTAAACCCAGAGATCGGCTCAATTTTAAACACTTTTGGGTGATCTATGTTTTGAGTGAATCAAGCACTTTAAAAGATTTCAATTTTGACAATGGATTATGGATTTATGAATTTAGATTTGGCTAATTGATTTTGAAATCTAGAAGTTGATAGTTTAGCTTTAAAGAGAATAGTTAACAGATCAACTTATAGGTACATTTATAGGCAACTACCTATAAATTGATCTGTTAACTTATAGGCAACTGATAGGTCAACAGATCAACTTATAGGCAAATTTATAGACAGTTTATACGTTAACAGATCACCTTGATCGCAAATTTCATGAGAAGACTTGACAAGAAACGTCGTTTACGCCAAAGTGACTAGTGAAAAACAATGACTAGATCCCTAATACGTATGATGAGTTTCTAGAAGCATCCCACGATGTCAGTGAGAAGCTGACATTTCCAAAAATAGAAAATACCACGCTTTCACGTTGATCAACGTGTACAGAATGAGTGGGCACAAAAATGAAAAATGATGATATTCAGAGATCATGAAAAATGAAAGTGAATGAAAAAGGGCTTAGAAGATTTTGAGCTTAAAAAGCTCTAAAAAATATTGAACTCGATTAGGGGAAGTCATTGATCAGAATTTTAAGCCCATAATCGAGTCTAACCCCAAAAAGTGTTTACAACAAAGTCAAGTAAGTCAAGTAATGGCTCCAATGGTCCAAAGCTCCAATGGCTTTTTTGATCAACTCAATTTAGAAGCTTGGAACATTAGTCTGGCTTTAGAGTATGAAATCTAGGTAGAGTTGACTCCTAATGCTCTAACTACCGTAGTCTATGAAAGCCAAGCAAGGAATTTGTGCCCGTGGGGCGGAAGTGGGCAAAATGGCCTATCCATTCATCGAGATTGTTTGCTTGTTTGCCAAAGAGCCAAATGGACAGTAGACCCTTCCAGTCAAATACAATCAAACAATGTATTCTGAATCGCTTATGGACATTCATGAGAGTCGATCGGGAAAGTGAGAACAGCCTCTAGGCAAACATTTTCCCGATTCTCACTCCCAAATAGCCACTTTATGAAAAAAAAGCAAACTAGCGAGAAATTCTAGTGAAAGTGAGCGACTTGTTGCTTCCGAAAAGTTCCGGTTTTGAAGAAAAAGAAAAATTGGGTACAGCAGAAAGTTTAGATTGTTATTTGAAGGCGAAGATTGAAAACTGGAACTACTAGAACTACTAGAACTAGGTTTTGATTCTAAAACAAGTGAAACTTTGACAAATGACTAACAACGTTATAAGAATATAAGTGAAAACAAAAAATTGAGCTCATTGGCAATTAGCAAATCCCCAGGTGTGGATAGGAAACAGTGAATGTCTCGGGGCTTAGCTATTCGGATTTGTGGAGAGTCCCGCCCCTTCAACTCTTTGAGAGTGAGATTTGAGAGAGAAAGAGAGCTCTGATGGAGCTCTTGAAAGCTACCGTATCCTCTGACATTCCCGCAAAATGCTCTCCGCGATCGTCTGGCAACTGATAAGAGGAATTGGGATGGAAAAACCTGATTTCCGAAGTTTTTCAGTAGAGAATGGTGGAGACCTTGAACTGATTGTAATGAGCGATACAACTAAGATTATTTTGGCGAAAATAGAAGTCTAAATGTTGGCCATGTGCCATTTAGGTGATAGATTTGAAACCGTAAAAAGTACACAAGCAAAGAGTAAGGATCAAAACAAGATATCGAAAACATTGGCTATTCTAAACAAGACTATTTTCAGGTGTTGATTCGAATGAAAACAAGGTTAGGTTTTAGAAAAAAGACAAGGCAAAGAGGTATATCCGTTTCTAGAATTGAAAATACTGATGTAGAGATAACAAGAGGAAAGTGTACTTTGTGTTGAACTAGGTACAAACTTTGTGAACCAAGTCCAGTTCAAATTTCAGTTTAAACACATGAAACCTTGCGCTACAGTTTATAGAATTAA